GAATATAATATAATATATATATATTATTCTAATATAATATATATATATATAGTCTATTCTGTTTCTTCAAGAATGCTTTGCCTTGTCCTTTACAAGCCTTGTTTACATTAATTTTCATAGAAACTACATGTGACTTGCCTTTACCCCAACTGACTGCCAATAAAAGTCAGTGCCTGGGACTGGCCAGGGCCTTTGTCGGTTGCACTGGCATTGGTCATCCTGGCTCCCTGCTTTCTCTCTCCTTGTTCTGCCTCTTAGTGTATTTATTTCTTAGGCCTGTGTTGTATACTGGGCAGGGTATCAGAATCTAACTGCAGGGGTCATCAGTAGTTCTCCAAACAGATAGTAGCTGAAATCAGAGAAGACAGCTGCCCAGGGGCAGGGGTGGTGATAGCAAGGACAAGTGTCTTTGAATTGGCACTTGAGAAAAGCAGGTACCCTGAAGTGGGAGCAAAAGATAAAAGTCTAATATGGGAGGATAAATGAAAGTATCTAGGGCATGTATGAGGGGAAACCAGACCTCTTCTGGGTCATAGCAGCCCACCCCAACCTAGATCTGGTGTACACTCCACCTTAGGAAAGGATGGTCATTTTAGTCACTTTCCTCATCACTGGGACATAATGCCTGGCCCCTGCATCTTAAAGGAGGAGAGGTCTATTTTGGCTCCTAGTTTGTAAAGGTTTCAATGCATAGTCGGCTGGCTGCAAGGCAGGCAGCATGGGAGAAGGAAAAATAAAGGAGTCAACAGAAAAAAAAGAACACAATGACAGGAATAAGTCAGTATCTTTTGGTAAATCACTTTCTGTAAATGGCCACAATTCCCTAATTAAAAGACATAGACTGGCAGACTGGGTTGGAAAAAAAAAAAACCACCTCAATAGTCTGTAGTACTCAAGAGATTCATTTAATGAAAACAGAAATTTAGAGACTAAAAATCAAAGGGTGGAAAACAATTCACCAGGGTGCTGAAAGCAAGCAGGGGTAGCAATTTTATTCTCAGACTAAGTAAACTTCAAGCTGAAACTGATCAGAAGAGGCAAAGAAGGTCACTGCACATTAGTTAAAAGCACAATTCAACAGGAAGAGATAACAATTAAAAATATACATGTGTCAAATACTGGTGTACCAATGTCATGAAAACAAACATACTGGAAATAAAAGATCAAGTAAACACTGATGCAATCAGAGTAGGTGACCTCAACACTCCACTTTCACAAACAGGCAGGTCAACTAAACAAAAAGTTTAGAAATATCAGAAATGAACCACCTTCAAGAAAATGGATTTAATAGATATCTACAGAGTGTTCTACCATATTACAACAGAATAGCTATTCTTCTCAACAGAAAATAGAACTTTCTCCAAATTAGGCCACATATTAATTCATAAAGCCTGTTTGTATAAATACAAAGGAACTGAAGTCATTCCATGTATATTATCAGATCATAGCAAAATGAAACTAAAAATAAATCACAAAAGAAACCACAGAAATGATACAAACACTTGAACAATAAATGACACACTCCTGAACACTCAACAGATCACAGAAGAAATCAAGGAGAAATTAAACAATTCCTAGAATCAAACAACGATCCCAGGACAATATAACATAACCTATGATACATAATAAAAGCAGTCCTAAGAAGGAAGTTCATTTCTGTGAATGCTCACATTAGAAAAACAGCAGGCTCAAATAAACAACTTGATACATCTCAACATACTAGAAAAACAAGAGGGGTTCAAACCCAAGCATAGTATAAGAAAAGAAATTATAAAAAGAGGTTTAAAAATTGAGGCCAAAAACAAGAATATAAAGAATCAATGAATTAAAGAGCTACTTCTTTGAAAAAGTAAGCAAAATAGACAAATTCTTACCCAAACTTACCAAAAGAAGAAAGGAAAAGACTCATTCCAATGCTACGAAAAATTGTACTCCAACAAGTTGGAGAATCTTGAAGAAATGAACAGATTCCTAGATGCATATTAATTACCCAAACTGAATCAAGAAGCCATAGAAAAACAATCTGATAATAAGCAATGAAAGAGGCAGTAATAATAATAAACTACCAACTAAGAAAATCTCAAGACCTGATGGATTCGCCACTGATTTCTATAAGATCTTCAGGAGGATATAGTGCCAACTCCCTGCAAACACTCTAATGAAAATGGAAGGGAAGGAGTTTAGAATTACTAAATAGGCTTTATCCTTGGGATCAACATATTCAAATCAATAAATGGAATACATCACATAAACAGAAACAAGAAAAAAATTGCATGATCATCCCAATAGATGCAAAAAAGCCTTTGATAGAAATCCAACATCCTTTCATGATAAAAGCACTGAAGAAAATATGTGAGACACCTCTACACTGAAAATTATAGTGTTCAGAAAAAGGAGATTGAGAAGGTCCTCAGAAAATAGAAGGACATCCATGTTCCTGGGTGGGCGGGACCAAGACTGCCAAAATGGCCCAACTTCCAAAACTGATGTACTGCTTTAATGCAGCCCCAATTAAAATATCTATAGCATTCCTCAAAGAACTAGAGGAAATGATTCTAAAATTCATATGGAACCAGAAGAGATCTGGAATAGCAAAAGCAATCCTGGACAACAAGAGCAAAGCAGGTGACATCACAATCTTGGGATCCAAGTTATATTACAAAGGTACATGGATAAAAACAGCACAGCACTGGCACAAAAACAGATGTCAGCGGAATCAGTGGATCAGAATAGAGGATGCAGAAACAACCCCAGACACATTCAGTCATCTGATTTTTGACAAAGGGGCCAAAAACACACAGTGGAGGAAAGATAGCTTCTTTATCAAATGGTGCTGGGAAAATTGGCCATCCACATACAGAAGATTGAAGCTAGAACCATAAATCTCACCATGTACTGAAGTAAAATAAAAATGGGCCAAAGATCTAAGTATTAAAATAGATCCATTTAATCTGCTGGGAGATAAAGAAGGTAAAACTTTTGAAGTCACAGGTATAAGCAAGGACTTTCTTAACAGAACCCCATTTGTACAAGAAATAACATTAAGAATCAACAAGTGGGGGACTTCCTGTCACCACACCAGAGTGCACATGAGTGCATTGCTGAGAGCCCCCAGCTGGTGAGACCGCCTTTTTCTGTAACTTCTACTGGCTGTGGGCTGCGTCTGAAGGATCTTGGGAGGCCCTCTAGACACACAATTGCTGCAGTGACCTTGGGCGATGTGGCTGTGAGCTTCACCGTGGAGGAGCAGGCTTTGCTGGATCCATCCCAAAAGGAGTTCTACAGAGATGTGATATGGGAAACGTTTATGAATATGACTGCCATAGTTCAGGAAGAACCTGTGATAACCAGCAGATTGAACAAGAGCACAAAAATTTCTCAGGAAATCTAAGAAATGAAGAGGCAGAGAAATGCTATCAATATAAACTTGGAATTGACATGAAGAAATACTTTTGGGGCCTCCAGATGCTAATATGAATATGCAGCAATTTGTTTTAAAGCCAGATGCAAGCCTTGCTAGTAGAAAGCCTCTGACTGGGCATTTATCCCCAAATGTGCCCATCACAGCTCACACAGGCCTCAAGCCAGATGAATATTTGGGATTTGAGGAGAAGCTGTATAAATGCAATGAACATGGAAAAACCTGTAGTGATCTCCCGTCCTTTCAGAAACACTCAAGGACAAAGACTGAGAGACTCTCTGCCAGTGTGTGAGAAAGTCTTTTCTGATGGTGGTAAAAGAACTCACTTAGGAGACAAAACCTTTGTAGGTAAGAAAAGTGTGAAAGCTTCAAGTGCCCCCAGTGGTGCTCAAATCCATGAAAGAAATCACAGTGGGAAAAATTCATATGTATGCAAACAATGTGGGAAAGCTTTTATTTCTTCATACCATATTCAATTGCATGAAAGAAAACATGCGGGAGAGAAGCCTATGTATCTAAGGAATATGTGAAAGCTCTCGCTCAGAGTCATTCCTTTCTCAAAGGTAAAAGAATCCACATTGGGGAGAAACTTTAGTTGTGCAAGCAATGTGGGAAAGCATTCAGTACATACAAATATTGTCAAATATATGAAAGAATCCACACTGGAAAGAACCCCTATGTATGCAAACAATGTGGAAAAGCATTCATGAAGCCCAGTGTTCACCAAACACATGAAAGAACTCACCCTATGTACGTAAGCAATGTGGAAAAGGATTTGCCAGTAAGCCCACATTCCATAGACATAGGAGACCCCACACTGGTGAGAAACCCTATGTCTGTAAGCAATGTGGAAAAGCATTCAGCACACACAGTCACTGTCAAAGGCATGGAAGTATTCGCACTGGAAAGAAACTCTATGTATGTCAGCACTGTAGGAAAGCTTTCACTGCACACAACTATTTTCAAATACCTCAGAGGAGTCACACTGGGGAGAAACCTTAGGTGTGCAACCAACGTGGGAAGTTATTTCCTACACAGAGGTGTTATAAAACACACAAGAAATCACAGTGGGGAGAAACCTTATGTATGTAAGCAGTGTGGGAAAGCAGCCACTACACAGTTGTTATAAAATACATGAAAGAAGTCATACGGCGAAGAAACCCTATGTTGGTAAACTGTGGGAAAGCAGCCACTGCACTCAAATTCTGTCAGGTACATGGAGGACCTCACATCGGTGAGGAAGCTTTTGTATGCAAGCAAGGTGGAAAAAGATTTGCTGCTAAGTCCTCATCCCATAGACATAGAAGAGCCCACAACAGCAAGAAACCCTATTCTGTGAACTGTGGGGAGCAGTCACTGAACACAGTTATTATACATTACATGAGAGTAGCCATTATAGGGAGATGCCCTGTGTGTGCTAGCAATGTGGGAAATCCTTCCATACAGTTGTTGTAAAGTACATGAAAAAGTCACACTGGGGAGATACTCTTTGTACATAGGAACCTGAGAAAGCCTTTAATATACACAGTTCCTGTAAAATAAAGGAAAGAAGGCACACTTGGGACAAACCCTACATAGACTAAGGGAAAATATCTCAAGATATTTAATGGACAAAACAACTCACACTGGGGAGTAACTCTAAGAATTTGATGATATATATATTTAGAGACTTGTGAACATGGGTTGACAAAATTCAATTGCTTTCACACAACTTGTAGATTAGGACATGTTATGTTTTTTTATATTGTGATAAAATACCTACATGTATCCCAACATAATTATAATTATATCAACTACATATCGTCTATATTGCTTTTATGTTAGAGGCAATGTAGTATTACCACTTACAGAAAATTTTTCTTACCATCAAAAATTTAGTCTTCAAGCTTATATTGTGATGACTTTAAATTTTGTGGTAAATTTTCCATCACATGAACCAAAAAAGAACCCACACTGCTGTGAGTTTCTGGTGGCCACAGACCATCAGAACCATAACTTTTCTCCAAAGGGATATCATGAATTGTAATAATAAATCTCTCCAAAAGGTTAAAAAAAATCAAGAAATGGGATTATATCAAATTAAAAAGCTTCACAGCAAAATAAACAGCCAGTACAGTGAAGAGACAACCTCCAGAATGGGAAAAATCTCACCAGTTACTCCTCAGACAGAAGACGGTTATCTGGAATATATAAAGAACTCAAGAAAATTAGACTCAAAAAAAAAAAAAAAAAACTGGGCGGCTGAGATGAACAGATATTTCTCAAAAGAAGATGTAGAAATGGCCAGTAAATATATGAAAAAATTCGGTATTGCTGGTCATTAGAAACATGCAAATTAAAACAAAACTGAGATTCCATCTTATCCCAGAGAATGGATATCATCAAGAAATCAAATAATAACAAAATTGGGAGAGGCTTTGGGGGAAAAAGGAACCCTCACACTTTGGGGACCATTACTCAGCAGCAGACTGAGCCACAAGACTCCTCGGCATCTGTGGGAATGAGGAGAGGTGTGGGTTCAAAGGGGAGAAGGTTTAAATCTCATCAGGCTGTGTGTGTTCATTGCTAAGTGGGAGACCTTTATCCCAGGGGATGGAGTAGGGGAGCCAGTGATCTGCCTGCAATCTCACCTCAGCAGGTAAGAGATGACCTCATAGGAGGTGCAAGGTTTGAGTAAACAGAAATGCATTACAGTGAAGACACATTGCCATGAATCCCCCTCGCAGTCTTTCTCCTCCTTCCACCATCCCGGCCCCTTCCTGCAGCCGCTCTGGAGCCCTCTTTCCTGAGTGTCTTAGCTGCACTGTCCTGCCTGCCTCGATGTCCTGAATTGGCTCAAATCGTGTCGCTGTCGTGGTCATTTTGACTTTGGGGGAGAGCCGGGAGTCACACGGTGCCAGATCCCATGAATGAGGTGGATGAGGATCCAGCATTGTGTTTTTACAAGCCTGCCTCCCCACTGGATGGTGCTTGGTGCAGCATTGGCTGTATTTTTGTCACAGCTCCTAAAGACACTCAGGAAAGGGGACTCCAGAGCTGCTGCAGAAATCGGCCAGGACGGTGGGAGGTGTGCATTCAAAGTGAGGGGAAGGATATTGAGGGGATTTGCGGCAATGTATCTTTTACCATAATATGTATTTTAAAATTTAAATGCACTTTTTTATCATCCCTTATATTTTTGCTTCACAAACAAATAGATTTTATATGAATTGTGCATGGCAGGCTGAGCTTAATTTCTGCGAAGGACAGGTAGCAAAAGTGTTAGTCGTCCCATGTCAACAACACTGCCTTAGCTCTGCCACCGCTGTGGAAAAGCAGCGAGAGACAACAGTACATGAAAGCCCACACTGAGTTCCAATAAAACTTGATTGACAAACACAAGCAAGGGGCCAGTCAGCCTACCAGGCCATAATCTGCCAGCCTATGCATCAAAACTTCCCTGCCCAAAGTACGTTATCGCCTCGAAGTCTTCACTGACAGCATGAGACAGGAAAGAGGGAGGTTACAGAGATTTCAGTCCGGCCCTTGGTGCCCTGCACATAGTAACTGCCTGGAAAGACAACAGAAACCCTGTGAAGTCAAACCAGAAAATCCTGTTTGCTGAAGAAGGTGACTGGAAGCCACAGTGTTTACAGTGAAGCAAAGTGGAGGAGAGCTCCCCTCCCCACCCCACCCCCATGACAGGCTGCCGGAGATGGGAGGGAAACCGCCAGGCAGAAGACAGCAGTGTGCTCACGCCGCCGAGGCTCGCAGACCGCGGTATAAATGCTGCTCAGGGAGGAGGCTGCACACATCACCCCCTCCTCCCAGCCACAGCCACCTCAGCCACCATGTGCCTCATCAGCTGCTTCTCGGGCTGCCAGTTGGCCTGCTGCGTGCCTGTGAGCTGCAGGCCTGTGGTTAGTGTGGCCCCTTCCTGCCAGTCCTCCGTGTGTGTCCCCGTGAGCTGCAGGCCTGCCGTATGTGTGGCTTCCTCCTCCCAGTCCTCGGGGTGCTGCCAGCCCTCCCACCCCCCCCTCCTCTGTAACCCCATCTCCTGTGGCACCTCCTCCTGCTGCACCTGACCTCGCGTCTCCAAGCCAACCACCTAGGAAGAGGGGACCCTCAGGTCCCTTTCCAGAACCAGGCCCCTGGAGCCCAGGTTTTGCCTTGCAGCAATGGGAAGCCTGCTCAGCAAATCCTGAGCTCTGGGTAGAGAATGTAGCAGGATGATGGCCAGGGCCCCTTCCATTCCTATCTCCTGCTCCTGAACTTCTTCACCAACCCACGGGAGCCCAATAAATCAGCTTTCCCAGTGCAGCTTGCCTCTCTTTTACCTTCATGTTGTTCGGAAGTTCTCTCTGCAAAGGTCCAGCCAGCTGGGGACACAGCTCCTCCTTGGGGCCCTGTCACCCTGCCACCTCCTGACACTTGCCTGGGTGGGGCTGGTGGGAGAAGCCTCTACTCCGAGCCCAAGGGACAGGCTGGACCCACTGTCAGGCCATGCTGCTGCAGCAGGTGGCAGGGACTGCTGTCCCTCACAGCCTCCCCTCAGCATTCAGCGACCAGCAAGGTCAGCCCAAGACCACGGCAGGCTGAGATCACCCCAAGGAATGGCCTGGCAGAAGAGACAGCCTGCTTCCAGGGAAGGTACCGTCATGTCCACATCCTCTGTGGCATAGGTGAGGGCTGACAGCCAGTCAGCAATTGTATCCACACGCAAATCAGCAAGGAAAAATGAGGCCATTATCAAGAGACAAAGCAACCTGCAAAGCTGGACTTAAAAATGACTCATAGGTTGGAGTTAGCACATGTGATCTTTTAAAAACCCAGATTCATCTGATAAAAAAATCATGTTTAGGAACAGACACAAGATTTCAGCCTAGATATGAACTTGGAGAGTCAAATGGGTGAGGTAGAACTCAAAACCCAGCGCTGAAGATGAAAGCCTTCGATGGGCTGTCTCATGGGTGTGTTTCAGATAGTCAAGAGTAGAACCAGTGAACTGGAAGACAGGGAAGAAGAAACTGGCAAAATGACCAGTTAAATCTCGGCCTCGACCTAAATACCCATCTACAGGTGAATGGGTAGAGAAAATGTGGTGTTTACACACTGTGGAGTACTATTCTGCCATAAAGAAGGAGTTGCTTGTGTCATCTGTGGGTAAATGGATGTCCTTGAGACCACAATGTTAGTGAAATAAATTCGATACCTGAGCTTAAATATCACATAGTTTCTCTTACATGAGAAACCCAAAGTATAAATAAAAAGGAAATAAAAGATAGACAGCAGGAACCACGCCAGCTCCCGACCCAGCCGCCATCGCTCAAGCACTGGGAAGGTAGCCACGCAGGCGCCCCTGAACCCCCATAAGCCCCCCCCGCACTCTTAGTCCTCCTGACTGTGCCAGTCTTTGGACCCACTCTGCAGAGGCAGAGGTGGTCATAAAGGGTATTTTTCTAAGTTCCCAACTTTGAACATCTTTAAAGAAAGGGCATGGGAAAGCTGTAATAGAACGTTGTGGAGTGCAACCATTCAGAAGGTTGGGGAACTCAATCTGGGCCTTGCAGCCCGAGGTCAGTCAGCGTCATGGGGTTCAGCCATCAGCTAACTGAGATCAGGGGTCTTGCATCCTCACTCTGAGCCATTAAATGGTAAATACACTATATTGAAATTTTGTTCACTGCAGACATGTTCTGGACTGCTTCTTGATTGCAATTATATTGAAATGATTTAAGGGTGATAGACTAGTGACTACCACCGGTGGTCAGTGCCAAAGTTGTGCTTGATCTTAATATGTTGCTCATTGTATCAGTTGGGGTAAAGCATTGCAGTTGATTTAATGAACTGTTTTCTCTGATGTTATGAAGATGAGAATGTCTGTGGATCATTAGAGACACAGAAGCTAGGGTGCAACTATATCAGGAAGATTTGGGTGATAATACAGAGAGTAAACCAAGGACAGTCCGACAACAAAAATTAAAATGAGAAAACACTTAAACAAGACACAAGGACAGACTTCCAGTTTACCAATGGCAAACAGTTGGGCAAATGAGGATGAAAAGGCTGATAGTGAACCACCAGGACACCCTGAACTCAAAGCACAGGAAGTAACAAAACAGATTAATCAGGCTCTAGAAAAATTCAAAACAGAAATAATTTCCCAGATAACCACAGTACTTAAGCAAAACACAAAGACAGACTGCCAGCTCACCAATGGCAAACAGTTGGGCAAATGAGGATGAAAAGGCTGATAGTGAACCACCAGGACACCCTGAACTCAAAGCACAGGAAGTAACAAAACAGATTAATCAGGCTCTAGAAAAATTCAAAACAGAAATAATTTCCCAGATAACCACAGAGATAGTGAGCAAAATGGAAGTCGTGATTTGAGACTCTAGAGCAGAAACTGACAAAAAAATAGATGAGCTTGGGACCATGATAGAAGCCATGAAGGACCAGCACAAGAAAGAAATGGAAAAAATAAACGCCCAACATAGGAAAGAAATGGAATCCATAAAACAGATTCAAACAGATATCCAGGAGATTAAACACTCTATTGAAAGTGTATGCAACAGAATAAAAGAATGTGAAGATAGGCTCTCAGATATAGAAGATAAAGATTGCAGTCAGTGACCATTAAAAGAGAGGTCTCTTAAAAACAGTAAGGGATCATGAGAAATCGATCCAACAGCTCCTAGATGATGTAAAGAAGAATAACATAAGACTGATAGGAATACATGAAGTAGCAGGAGAAAATACAAACGACTTTAAAAAGCTGTTCACAGAATTAATGACAGAAAACTTCCCAAACAGAGGGGAAGAATTTGACATTCAGATAACTGAGGCATATAGGACCCCAACTAGCTACAATCAAAAAAAATCTACACCTAGACATATAATAATCAAGATCCCAGAAACCCAACAGAAGAACAAAATACTACAAGCAGTAAGAGAAAAGAAACAAATCACATACAAAGGAAAGCCCATCAGAATCACAGCAGACTTTTCAACACAAACCCTTGGGGCAAGGAGAGCCTGGAATGAGATATTTCAAGTACTAAAAGAGAACAACCTCCAACCTAGACTGATGTATCCAGCAAAACTCTCTTTCAAAATGGATGGGGAAATAAGACACTTCCACGACAAAGAACACCTGAGAAACTACATGAATACCAAACCAGCACTACAAGCAATTCTAAACAAGATCCTAGAAAAAGACAATGAAGGCAACAACACCATGAGGCCCAACAGAGCAAATCAAATAGGCAAGGCAAGAAATTAAAAGGAGAAGGTGAAAAAGTAAAAAGAGTCAACAAAAGGCCAATAACATGTCAATAATAAGTCAGTACATATCAGTTATAACCAGCAATGTCAATGGCCTCAACTCACCAATCAAGAGAAATAGACTGGCAAAATGGAATAAGAAGCAAAATCCAACAATATGTTGTATACAAGAAACACACCTAGTGCAAAAAGAAGCCCATAGACTGAAAGTGAAAAGATAGAAAACAATTCTCCATGTGACAGGAGCCCAGAAAAAAACAGGGGTAGCAATCTTATTTGCAGACAAAGTAAATTTCAAACCAAAACTGAATCTAGTATTATTGATGTAGGACAGTACTGTATCATACCTCTATGAATGTAAAATATCTAGTACCTGCTTTATGATACATAGTAGGGACCGTGCTTTATCAGAGCTACATTTAATGATATTACTCTAGAATGTTCTCTTTCCAGATGATGATTAAGAGGCTAATAGAAAAAATGGTGCCAGGTACCACAACAGCAACAGAACTTTGCTGTTGTCTGGATATTATTCTTTTCTTTGTTTTTTTTTTTTTTTTTTTTTTTTTTTTTTTTTTTTTTTTTTTTTTTTTTTTTAATGGAATGTGCTGAATGTCTATAATTTTGTTCAGATGACTGCAGAACCTGGAAAAGCTGTTGCTGCTATCGATGCATAACATACTATTATTAGTCTTTATATATATATACACACACACACACACACACACACACACACATATATATAAATTGAATTTTGGGAAACTTTAACGGTGCTGCCAACTTTGGAAAAAGTCATCCCAATTTACTGTGTTGACTTGGCATTGTACAGAAATGGACAACCATATTGGTCTAGAAATGTTAATTTATTTTTATTTTTTTTTTTTTCCATGTGTACAGGGGTAACACATCGTACTAAATATGTAAGGTCATATCTACGTGGGTTTGATTACAGAAACTAATAAAGTATTCTCTAAATAATGAAAAAAAGAATAAGATAAGACTATAAGAGCGAGAAGCAATTTAAATATGTTCAGGGACCATTTTCATCTCCAGAATTAAGGATTATTTTGATGTTACATCATTGCCTTTTCTCTTTTACTTTCCTTTTTAGTTTTATTTTAGGATTCCCTATTTTTAATGTTCATACAGAGATTTCTTTAACTGAAATACCGAATAGTTTCTTTGGTGTGAAAAACTATAATAGTACACAGGATCCTAATGAGATAATTAATAATGTGAAATAGGAAGTAAAGGGCTAAAGGTGTAGGGAAAGTGGGAAGGGTGGGGGAAAGGTAATAAGGGAGAGGAAAAAAATATGAGAAACTGAAAAAATGGAAATAAAGTGTTTGTAAATGGGGAGGGGGGGAGGGGGTGAAGGGAGGGCAGGGACAAGGGGAAAAATGAGAACCAAGACCTATTATGTAAAGGTACAGAATCCCAATGATGAATGTAACTGTACTGTATACCTAGATTGTACCAATAACCTCAATACAAAGAAAAAAAAAGATACACAGCAGGAAGTAAGGAGAGAGATCTTTTGCAAAAGAGAAGGGAACCAGGAGATAGGGCGAGGCGGAAGGGGCAATAAAGAGAATTAAAATGTGCTGTGTACGTGTGCCGACTCCCCACAAGGAATGTGACCATTAGATACCGCAAATATGTACGAATAAAAAGGAAAGATTGGAGAGAAATTACAAAGGGAGAGCTGGGGGAGGAGAGGGGACAAGAAGAGAGCCCCCCACAGCTCTGGGTACTGCGAAATTGTCCTGTGTACCTGTAACTGGGCTCCGAGAGGGGA